TCTTTATCGAATCTTGTAAATGTAAATGCCATAGTTTTTGTCAGCATCTCATGAACAAAAACAGACAAAAACAATGGCATTCTTGAGGTCCATTCACAGTTGTAAACACACTTCAACTTTTGCAATTAACTATACAAAACTTAGGAACAAGACTTACAATTCATCTCACCTCACCATTCACTTATCACAACTCTGATTTGCACAGTGAACCAAGGGAATTATCAAAAGATCCTGAATGGCCTCAGGCAGTTGGCTGGAAAGAGCCATTCTGCTCCTACTGATCTTCATTAGTTTTTATTGGTCGAGCTAATCATATTAGGATAAATCCATACTTTCACTGTTGTATTTTATAAAACAGCTTAAATTGTATGTCATAGTGTTACTCAAATATTAAAATTTTCTTTATTAAGTTTTAAAAAATGAATAATCAGAGCCTATGTGGTAGTCTAATGTTGAGTATTTTATTCATTACCCACCCACTGAGTATTCAATTTTGATGACAACAATCATACAAGATAAAATCTTCCTTTTGTTATGAGTAAATAAATTAGTAATGAAAAAATGTTTAATAAATCTGATTATTAGTGGGAACTTATTAAATATTCTCAGTGAAATTTATACATGTACACAACAAAATAGATAAACAGTAAGCTACATTGTTCTCACCAAAACACTTCTTGTGATTTGAAACTGATTGGCCCTTTGAAATTGAGGGAGTCTCATCACGCACATATCCAGGCTTTTTGTTAACACTTGTAGCAAAGAACTTGCATTAAAATACAAGTATTTCATAGCAATTGACCCATGTAAACCCTTTTCCTTGAATTTTACAAAGTTGTTTTATGTGTCAAACTTCCATGAATTTATTTGAAAAAATATAGCTAGAAGTAATGGATTCTTATAGAAATAGTTTTTCAAAGAAAAATATTTGGTTAAAAACTAAAGTTGACAACTTGTGTTCAAATCACTACCTATCACTGATGAATCAAAATTGGTAATTAATTTGTTGCCACTATTTAAAGCACCACAAGTCAATCCACATGTTCTATGTGGGTCTCATGCAATGTATACAACAAATGGGAATAAGTGTCGCCAAATTCAAAAAAGGGTTGACTATGACACTTCAATTGAATGTGCGTGAATGGCCTCAAGTAATTAAAGAATGTCAGCACACATGTTGGCATGCCAACCAAGTCTTTTGATCAACTATGTAAAATATTGATAAAACTCAGTGGCAGTGAATATTCTTAAAATATTAAGTAAATGGTTTACAATTTATCTTTAGGCTGAAAAGGTATTAAAAGTTACATTTTCTGCTTTCAAGTTATTTATAATGATAAAGTTACAATTATTGTATAATGAGCAGGTTTTAATTCATAGACAACCGGCGATGTGATGAACCTTAGACTGGTCCTTGCCAGACGACTAGGGGTATTTACATCCATAGTTTGTTGATTGGTTTATTCTCCACTCTAGTAATAATGTCTCTAGTCAATTTTGCAATCTGATCATGCAAGTCTTTTATACTTTGGCTAGCATCGAGTGTTTCCCATCGATCTTCTCGTAGCAATCCATACATGTCAGCTACTCGTTTCTGAAAATCTGTTTGTTCGTAACGTTCCCCTCCAAAGTCTGCTCTTTTGGCCGCGTCTTCTGCGCCTATGGTGAGATACAACACAAGGTCAGGCTCCGGCAGTCCGCGGTCAGGTTGCTTGCACCATTCGATATCGAAACCTTCTTTCGCCGCGGTGAAAGCAACACCGGAATATGCATACCGATCCACAACTACTGTTGTGCCATCTTGAAGTAGTTTCCGCATTCTAGGGACGCTTTCCCATCTGTTCGCAGAGAATAGAAGGTGTATGGCATGGTCTTCTACCTCGGACTTTTTCTCCAAATATGAACCAATTAGTTGTCCGATAGACGAACTGCGTTCTGGAAATCGCCAAAGTTCTGCCGGTGTCCCGCCAGCTACAAGTGTATCAACCAGTTTCCGTGCCTGAGTAGACTTCCCACATCTGTCACACCCTTCTAACACGATTAAAGCACCTCTCCTCACGACTCCGTTCATAATTGCAAAAATAAACGACAGTCACTGGCAAATATTATTGAAAAAGGCGCCTCGCTAAACGTCTGCCATTGGTTTGTCGCCTCGACCAATCAGAGCGCTGTTCTTATGCGGTTCTTGTCCATATTTCCCACAGTGATCGCGCTCTCGATTGAGCTCTCGCGGATCATCGGTACGTCATTCTCACATACCACAACCATTTATGGCAACTAATATACCCTCTCTTGGAGTTGAGAGAGGCAAAACGTAAAAAAAACCTCAAGAACGGGCAAGAATGTCGTATGTCGACCAGTGGACAATATTGCGCACATTCTCCGTCGCAGAGACTATGGGTTTTTTATCGCTAAGCTAGGTAGTCGCCAAGGAACGTCCCACTAGTCTCTGCCTTGTTACCCACGATAAAGTACTAGTAAGATCGAATAATCCTAAAATATAAATCGTTGGAATTTCAATCGTAAATAAATAAAGCAACGAAAAACGAAAAGAAAAAAAAAACAAACAATGTAAATTATGCATTCTTATTGAAACTGTACGCTGCACTGTATGAAACCTCTTCTTGCACGTTGTATTTCGCATACTCTTACTGTAATTCCCAATATTTTTCACATTCCTGATCCCAGACATCGAACTATTCATAACCCTTCAACATTTACAAGTCAGTGTTTTTAATCCAGACCTAACCAGAAACTATTTTAAGTTCAACATCTTTCTGTGTTAACGTGTTGATCCACAATTTATTGTTTCAAAATGATACACACAATACGATAGATGGTATAGTGTATTTTGAAACATTAAAAAATGTATTCACATTAGTTAATTATCAGCCGCGCCGATTTTCAGAATCACGTGACGCTAAAACAAACACAATGTTCACAAAATATTAATAATAGAAAAGTACAAGTCAAGGGCTTTCCAAACATATATAGATTGTATAGGTTCTTGTAAAATTTATTCCGATTATAGATGTTTACATTTTTCATGCCAAAAAACTATCCCGCTACCTTAATTACGTGAAATTAGGTAAATAAGTACATGTATCACTTATTTACTAGTAGAAACGTATCAACGTGAATGCGACGCTTCCAAAAAATCTAACAATTATGTACAAAATGGGCAAGATGTTCAGGAATCACAAGATCTATTTTTTTGCTATGTTGATATAATGTGCGATATATGGCAATGAAAGGTTTATTTGATCATGATAGTTAACTATACTGTGAAATACTTTATTTCAGCTTGGAATTTATTTTCGCTATTTTCGCTGAAGGTGTGATTCAGTGAAAATAAAATCCAGTGAATATATCCTTTGTCCTATATTTCACATTCAACTCATCACAACTCAGTGATAATAAATTCCATAAAAAAACACCAAAAAACCTATTCAGCGAAAATTAATTCCAGAGGGGTGACTTTTTTCATATACATTTGTTTCAACGGAGCAGGTTTTCCTGAAAATCCGTTTCAGGGATGGATTTTTTAAGGATTTTGTCTCTCGGATGTATATGAAACACGTCATACCAATGAGAATTCAACAGCCACATGACACTGAAGATCCACTTCAGCTAATTAAATATCTTGGACTGCAAGACAATTTGGTAGTGGTACTAATTTGGTAATAACCCAGGGCGGGCACTACAACAAGTCAGACTTGGTACCCATGCTGACGTATAGCTTTTTAAAAAATCCTCTAAACACGTACCTATTTTTGTGAAATTATTATTCAAGTGCAGAAACTTAAAATAGATACCCTATATACATACTAAAATCATACTGTTTCCAAGTTGAGGTAACATGAATTCATGAGATTCCTTTTTTCACACTTTATTCATATATTTTAAAATATTCGACCCTAAAGACGGTACACGCGTCAAATAGCTAAATAACACCCCTTTTGCACAATAACTATGTGAGTATAAGCAGAACTGCGCAAAAATATACGAAAACAGGAGCGGATCAAGGAATTTTCTAAAGAAAGGGGCTCCAACATTTTCAATATAATAATTGACCTATAGAGGGCGCGTTATACCCCGCTGGCCATTAAAGTCAAATTGTACTCAGTGGAATACCACTGGATCTGATTGTCATGTAAATCTGATAGTTATACTACCCCTCCTCGTAGATTAACGGGAAATATCGGCTCCTTTTGGAGCCTCGGTCTGGTAAAAGTCCGAGGCGCGCAGTCAAAACATATGGAATGAGTGGAAAGAGCAACGTAATGTTAAAGTTGAGTATGATAAATCTGATGAAGAAGTGTATCATTTGGTTCCGTCTCTGGATGAAAATTTAGTCCA